TCAAGAGTGTCTGGAAAAATGGAGCAAGTACTCTCTTAGCACCTTGACAGGACTGTTGCGGAACTTGAAATATTTAATATTCATAAGGCACTCTAAAGGTGTAAAATGCCATATAAATATATTAATAAACCACAACTGTACTCTTCTTTGCTGCAGCTTAGGAGAAGTCTGCCACACTGTAATGATGGATGATTACTTTGGTTGTTGTAGAAAAATCATGTCATAGTGTAACTTCTGAGAGACTATATCCACCTTGGCACAGGAATGGACTCAGATTCATAGATTTCAAGGACTGATGGGACCAGTGTGATATAAGAAGATCATTTTCATCTTGTGATCCTATAGTCAAATTTGGCCTTGACCACTTTTAGTAGACAGGGATGCATGTTAGCACCGTGAAAATAGCATTAACATGCTACTTGCAAATATTCCAAATTGAGTGCACAAGCTCTGTGCAGCTGCACAGTGAAAAGTCTTCATATCAGGAACAACATTAATGCCAGCAGAGGAAAGTGAACTGCGGATGGAAGCAGGGGAAGATAGGGGAATGTGCTAAAATATATAGACCACGCTCCCAACTCTACCCTGTGTCCTGATATGTCCCTCCTCAGGTCTAGAAGCAGAAGATCTGCAGAGCATGAATTCTGCATAGGTTTGCGAGCACAGCACAGAAGTCACAGCTTTTTAGGAGTACAGCCTAAGATATAAATTTGCTTCTCTGTGATTAAGCACACTAGTGTGAATTGAAGTCAAGTGTTTCAGTATGTGGCTTCATTGCATTTTCCATTTAATGGACTAAATTAGATCATGCATTATTTAGATGAATGTAGCAATATTTCTGAGACAGTTTACAGTCCCATCAGATAAAACTACACCAACATATTTTTTCAAAAATGTTATGCTTTGATCCAAAAATAGCAACCATAATAGTTCTCATGCACTGCAGCTACAGTAAGTCTGTGTATCAAAAATCCTCGTTGCAGATTTTCTGGAAACAGAACAAACCATGGAGGTTTTCCTTCCAAAATACCCTAAGGAACGAGTTCATGTTACAGACTAGTGGCCTGTGAAATATGCCTTTAAAAAAAAAAAATTAAAACCACTTTGAAATTGTTAGAAACCAGGAAAGCTTTTACAAACTTGTGTGTGTATAGCTACAGAAATGAAAAAAAAATGTCCAAAATGAAATATGGAGGAAAACGTGATTTAAAAAATTATAGCAATTAAAATAATTTTCAACCTGAAGAAAACGCATACAGTTGAGATAACAAGCAATGAAAACTGAGTTTTCTAACAAATCTGATGAAACCGGTTAAACGGTGCTGGAATGAACAGTTACCATCCTAATTTTGGCTTACCTGAAATGGTTGTCATCTTCAAAGTTGAAAGGACCCGTCCTTTATTAATAAATGTTGCTTAAGCAAGCAATTCTCGCTAAAAAAAATTAAAATATTTTATTAAAAATCTCTATAAATACATTAGACTGTAGTAAAGAAATGGGGGAAATTCCATAAGCTGATATATCTTCAAGCTACACAGGACAAAGCATTATACAAATATATCCTATAGAGCAATCCTCCTCTGGCAGGGAAACGACCAAGAGACCCTCCATAATTTCCATGGTATTAATAACAAAACAGCCAAGCTTATTAACTAGACATCATTTAGTACTTTCTTGTAAAATCACACTGAATATATTACATTAAATTATATGCCTGTAATTCCAATGTTTGCTAAATACCGATCCAGTTTTGTACTAATTTCTCAGATCCTGTCAGTATTCACAATCCCCACTAGAGGGCATCACACATTTCCCTCAACAAAAACACACTGATGTTAACTTAAATAAATTAATTCACAGGGAGAGGTCAATGACAGAATCCCTAGCACACTGCCAGACTTTCAAGGTAAGTGTTCTGCCAATTTGGGTCCTGAGTCAAGTCCCACAGAAGTCAGTGGAAGTCTGTCATCCCCATTAATAGGAATTGGAGCATGCTATAAAAACGTAGTCACATGCTTTAGCACAACAAAACAGAGAGCTGACTATTCATAAATGCAACTATAAGAATATCAGAATTAATTACATAGTGACCTGCTAAAAAGCATTGAACCACCATGATAGGACTTATGGGATTTTGTTTGTTATTCTATAGGAGTTAGAACAGCAGCAAAAAACTCTTCAATATATTAAGTTAATAAATATTTGTGAATGATATTCTTTGTATTTCAGTATATCTTCACTGTATTACAGTAAGAAAGTAATACAAAATTAAACAAAACATAAAAATAAGACATCCTTCATTACCTCAATAGGAACACTGATTTGGGGACAGGAAAAGGAAAAATCCCCCAGCAGACTTCTATTGTCACTGCCTAAAAACATTACCGATGAATGGAACAAATAATAGATCCAGCTAAAATACTTTGTTTTGTCAGAATATGGAGTCAGAATAACTGAAAGGAGCTCTGCCGTGGACAGAATCAGATTATTGCATAGAAATAATTTCAGAAAATATTTGGCAAGATTAAGCTATCTACTATATAGGACAGGTGGCACTGTTCAGAATCTACTATATCTGATCACAAGTTCATGAATCTGAAATTGACAGCATTAATGGGATAACCTCCCTTAATTTTTTATGCAAGTGAATTTAGTCCTTAGTAAAGTTACCAGGCTGGCAGCTCTGTAGACTGAAGTACCTAATTTATCCAAAGGACAGGAATAGAATGAGCAGGTGGCAATGCAAGCATCCCTACAAATGCCCTGCCAACATTAAACTGAGCATCCACCTCTATGAGAGAAAGTTCAGTGCTCATAATGATTCAGTCCTTGGCCTCTCTGTGCTGACGCTGCCAACGAGTGCACCAATTATTAGTTGCTTTTTCTCTAATGCAGACACTAAGGAACTGAACAAAGGCTACTGACTCATTTCACATAGGCCACTGAACAATCTTCAGATAGTGACTGGTTTCACTTACCAACCTTGCATGGATTCAAGCCAGCAGTCTAGAGGTGACAAGCTCTGTATCTCACTTGCCATCCAGTTTCCAAAATAAAACCTCAGAAGAGTCAAACTCTAAAAAGAACCATGATGTTAGTAAAGCACTGCAAAAAGCTTAAAGTTAGATAAACTAAAGCAAGGTTAGCTTCACAAGCAAGCTGTGGCTTATCAAGCTGCGTTAGATAATTCAACAACAAAAAAGCGAGATGAGATGTTCAGAATCTCATTAAAACGCACAGGAAAAAAATCCCAAGCTCGCAAAAGTTAAAAAGCATACAGAAGAACCTCAGAGTTATGAACTGACCAGTCAACCAGACACCTCATTTGGAACTGGAAGTACATAATCAGACAGCAGCAGAGACCAACAAAAAAAAAAAAAAAAAAAAAAAAAAAAAAAAAAAAAAGCCAATACAGTACAAAATTAAATGTAAACTACAAAAAAATAAAAGGAAAGTAGCATTTTTTTCTAATAAACTGTTCAGTTGTAAACTTTTAAAAGAACAGCTATGACATTTTGCTTAGAGTTACGAACATTTCAGAGTTATGAACAACCTCCATTCCCAAGGTATTCATAACTCTGAGGTTCTACTGTACTTAAAACTAACTCAACATAAGTATCAGTCAACAGCAAATAAGAGGAGTATGGCAAGTGCAGGAATATCATCATGTCAAGAGATTTAATGACCATGTCCAAGGATAAAGAATTTTTTTAAAAGAGAAGGAAAGTGTTAAATTACATGCTCCACCCTGTAGAGAGAGGCAGCTGAACATCTCAAATAGGCTAAGTATAGACAGAAGATGATTCAGCTGAGTAGAGGATGTTTATATGGAAAATGTGCATCTGGCAAACTGTACCAGAATGCTCATGTAGTGATTCATTGGTGAATTTCCTTAGGAGAGGGATGGCTAAAGCCAACAGCAGACAGAGCGTATAGCAAGCCACAAAAAAGGGAAGGTGAGGACTAGGTGGACAATGCCTATCCAACCCAGCTGAGAATTTACTGAAGCTGGAGGTAGTGAATTGTTATTTAGCAATTAAGTGGTGGGGGTGTTTTTGCATATTGGACATTCACATCACTTTAAAGACCACCAAAAAAAGGTATTAATCCAGGGAAGTCCTATGGTTCTATGTTACACAGTATAGGCACCGACTCAGTGGGTGCTCAGAGGGCTGGAGCACCCACAGGAAAAAAAAATAGTAGCACACACCCTCCCTTCCCCCATCAGCTGTCTGCCAGTGGTCAGGAGGCACTGACAGGAGGGGGAGGACCAGGGGTGGAGCTTCAGGTGGTGGGGTTGGGGTGGGGGCAGGAAGAGGCAGGGTGGGGTGGAGCCTTCGGGGAAGGAGTGGAGTGTGGGGCATGGCCTTTGGGCAGAGCGGGGTTGGAAAACCCCTGGGGAAAACTGAAAGTCAGAGCCTGTGTTACACAGGTCAGACTAGATGAGCACAGTGATTCCTTCTAGCCCTAAACCTCTATGCTTGGGGAGGGGGCGCTGAGAGGGAATTTCCTCAGCTTCTGTTTTAGTCAGTCACTGAATAGCTCTTGCCCCACATATGATACCCCGCCCTGCCCCTACATCTCTACCGCTCCCTTTACCCTTCCTTCCCCTGCTTCCGCCCCGCGTGGTGCACGTGGGAAGGGATGGGCTGATACCGCCGCCCCTACTCCTCCTATCCCATCCCCACGTGAACTCACCCCGGCCCTTCCCACGCGCTAGGCTCAGCCCGGCCGCCCTAAGCCCCCACCCCGCCTGCAGCCGCCGCACTCACCTCTCACTCTCAGCAGCGACGCCTCGGTTTCCCGCCCGCTCGCGCTCTTCCCTCCCTTTCCCAGCCCGCCGCAACTTCCGCAGCCGGCGCCGGCCTCTCCCGGCCAGTCACAGAGCGCGCCCCGCTAGGATTGGTCCGGCTGAGCCCCCGTACCGCGAGGGAAGCGAACAAAGTAGGCGTTGATTGGCCCGACTTCCGCCAATGGGCGGTGCCGGGGAGAGGGGAGCGGGGGGCTGCGTGTTTCCGGAAGACGTGGCGGCCGCTTCTGCCGCCGGTTCCAGCCACCTCCCCCCTCCCTAGTTCCCTGCTGCTGCCGCCGCCGCCACCGGCCTCGCCGCCACCATGATCTCCCTCACCGACACCCAGAGTAAGCGTCCGCCCGGCCCTGCGGCTGGGGCTCCGGGCGGGGGCTCCTGGGGCGCTGGCGGGGGGGGGGCTCTGTCGGGGAGCTCCGGGCGGGGGGGGTCTTGAGCGGCACGATCCTGACGCCGCTTCCCCGGGCGGCGTCCACCTCGGGGGTGATCCCGAGCGCGCCTGGCCGCTGCCCCTTTGTTCCGGGAGCCGGGGTCTGCGCCGCGCTCTCCTCCCGCTTCCTGTTCGCAGGTGAAGGGGGGAAATCCCCTTCACCCTTGTTGTGGGCGGGGGAAGGGCCTTGCCGGCTCCAGGGTCGTTTCCACTTGTCTCCGGCTGGCCGTCCTCCCCTCCCGCTGGACACGTGCGCCGGGAGGCCTCTGCAATACCCGGGATCTCTCGGACGAGCTTCATGCGCCAAACACGGACTGAAGTCCGAGCAGCCCTGGTAGTGAGGGGTCTGGGGAGCTCAATGTGTAACTATTTACAGTGTGTTTTCAAACGCCTCCGTTCGGCGAGCCAGCCCTGCGTTAGTTACCTTCTAATTCAAAAAGGAAAAGTTGTCCCAGCCATACTCACCATTTGGAAGACTGAATTTTGAGGAAGTGTATCTAATTGATAGTGTATCCTTTAATAAAACTGGTAGGTTTATAAGCAACAAAATTAAAATTGTGCTGTGTTCCGACTTCTGGAGTGAACTGCAAACATCCCAAGTAAAATTATACAAGTAGCACACATCTGATAAGCCAACAAACTGCATGTCATGACGCAATCTTGATAACAAAACCAGAATCTACTAAAAACAGAAGGCAGAGGGCCAGATTTTCTTTACATTAAGGCTCTGCTTTGGCAGTGTAAAAAGCCTTTAAAGTGTGTATAAATGTAATTTATGCCCACTTTAAGACCTCCTTAATTGCCAGAATGGTGTAAGACCATCCAAACGGCCATAGGGGGTCAGATCAATGGTCCATCTAACCCAGTATCCTGCTTTCCAACTGTGGCCAATGACAGATGCTTCAAAGGGAATGAACAGAACAAGGTAATCAAGTGATCCATCCTCTGTCGTCCAGTCCCAATGTCTGGCACTCAGAGGCTGAGGGACACCCAGAGCATGAGATTGCATCCCTGACCATTGCTGCTAATAGCTGCTGATGGAGCTATTCTCCATGAATTTATCTTATTCTTTTTTGAGCCCAGTTAAAGTTTTTGCCTTTCACAATATCCCCTGGCAACTAGTTCCACATGATGACTATGCGTTGTGTGAAGTACATCCTTATGTTTGTTTAAACCTGCTGCCTATTAATTTAATTGAGTGACCCCTGGTTCTTGTGTTATGTGAAGGGGTAAATAACACTTCTTTATTCACTCTCTCCACATTATTCATGATTTTATAGACCACTGTCATATCCACCATAGTCATTTCTTTTCAAAGCTGAACATTTCCAATCTTTTCAATCTCTTCTCATATGGAAGCTGTTTTATACCCCTAATCCTTTCTGTTGCCCTTCTCTGTACTTTTTCCAATTCAAATATATCTTTTTAGAGATGGAGTGACCAGAACTGCACTCAGTATTCAAGTTATGGTCTTACTATGGATTTATATAGTCACATTATGATATTTTCCATTTTATTATCTATCCCTTTCCTAATTGTTCCTAACATTATCTTTTTTGACTGCTTCTACACACTGAACAGATGTTTTCACAGAACTATTCACAATGATTCCAAGATCTATTATGACTCAAGGAAGCTAATGCAGACCCCATCATTTTGTATGTATAGTTGGGATTACGTTTTCCAATGTGCATTACTTTTCACTTATCAACATTGAGTTTTCTCTGCCATTTTGTTACCCAGTCACCCAGTTTTGTGAGATCCCTTTGTAACTCTTTGCAGTTTGCTTTGGACTTAACTATCTTAACTAATTTTGTCTCATCTGTAAACCTTGACACCTCAATGCTTATTCCTTTTTCCAGATCATTTATGAATATGTTGAATAGCACTGGTCCCAGTACAGATCCTTGGGGAACCTGCTATTTACCCATCTCCACTGTGAAAATTGACCATTTATTCCTACCCTTTATTTCCTATCTTTTAACCAGTTATTGATCCATGGCAAGACCTTCCCTCTTATCCCATGACTGCCTACTTTGCTTAAGAGCCTTTGGTGAGGGACCTTAGACTCAGACTTTCAGAAAGCCTTTGACACACTATCTTCTTGAGCACCCTTGTTCACGTGTTTCTTGACACCCTCAAAGAGTTCTAATAGATTGGTGAGGCCTGATTTTCCTTTTCAAAAACTGTGTTGACTCTTCCCCAACATATCATGTTCATCTATGTGTCTGATAATTCTGTTCTTTGCTGTAGTTTCAAACAATTTGCTGGGTATTAAAATGACAGGCTTACTGGCCTGTAATTGCCTGGATTGGACCCTCTGTTACTTTTTTAAAATTGGCCTTCCACCGGCTGTCTTCCTTGTCATCTGGCTCAGAGGCTGATTTAAGCCATAGGTTACATACCACAGTTAGTAGTTCTGAAGGCACTCAGATATGAAATTGCACAACTCTTGGGTGAATATCATCTGGTCCTGGCAATTTATTACTGTTTAATTTATTAATTTGTTCAAAAACCAACTCTGTTGATCACCTCAATTTGGGACAGTTCCTCAGATTTGTCAACTAAAAAAAAATAGCTCAGGTGTGGGAATCCTCCCTCACATCCTTTGCAGTGAAAACCGGTGCAAAGAATTCATTTAGCTTCACCACAAGGGCCTCGTCTTCCTTGAGTGCTCCTTTAGCACCATGATCGTGCTGTAGTCCCACTGATTGTTTGGCAGGCTTCCTGCTTCCGATCTACTTAAAAAACAAAAAATGATAGTAATTGCAACGGCTGTTGAGGGTTGGTCTGTTCTTCTCACCAAGGTGTTGTCACTGCATCTTGTGCAGTATGTTCTGGAATTCATCTCTTATCAGCCTGTGACTAGTATATTTAGTCCTACGGCTAACAGGTGGTCTGGTACGTCTTTCAAGACCTGCTTCCTGGTGGTGGTTGATTCTTCATCTCCTTTTCAGAATTCAAATTGATAAGGACATCCATGATGTTTCCCTTTGCTAGTGTGAATGGAGTTGGGGAAGAGGACAGATTCCAATTATAGTCCTCAGTCAGTAATTGATATTTGATATATTTAAGTTTACAGTGAAATATGGGTGTATACTTTTTGAATGTCAGATTAGGGAGTGGATTTTTACAGTATCTTTTAACAGAACATCTAAAGTAATAATCTTGTCCTTGTAATAGTAGTGTAAATTTAATTAGATCTTGAATCTGTTTGCAATCAAAATGAAAATTAAAGCAAATTTTAAAAATATGTACTGTTACAAGTCAGTCCACGGAAATATAATTTGGATATCAAATGGTGTTAAACAATATTGAGAGATGAGCTCACAAAAGTAATGACGTTAAAGGCTACCAGAGTAGATATAGCTACACAGAGTTGTGAAATCTTCTACTATTGCTAGTAAATGGAAGTGCTAGAATATATAAGCTACCAGTGGTTTTACCCCTGTGCTGTCTGACCAAGATAAGATGACACTGGGTATGTCTATGCTGCAATTAAAAACTTGCTACTGGAATGTGCCTGTTGATGCAGGCTGATGGGGCTTGGGCTAAGGGGCTGTTGTAATTGCAGTGTAGATGCTTGGGCTGGAGCCTGGTCTCTAGGACCCTGCTAGGTGGGAGGGCCCCAGAGCTCAGGCTTCAGTCTGAGCAGGAACCTCCATGCTGCAGTTAAACAGCCCCTTAGCCCAAGTGAGTCAGCTGGCACAGGCCAGCTGCAGGTGTCTAATTGCGTGTAGACATATCCATTGTGATTAAAACATTGTCGCCTGGTTTACACTAGTGCTAGGACTGGTGACGCTTTGCTGCTGTTTAAGCCAGATGTAGGAGAACTTCACAGAAACCTCAGTCTAGATGAGGCCTAAACTTGCAGCCCTTTGTGTTTTGATCTTGATCACTGTTGCAGAGAAGAATCTTGTAGGTTTGCTCTTCAGGCATCCCTACTGATACTTATCTTGCAGTTTAATCTAACATGTCTAATGAACTATAATTTTAAAAACTCAAACTTTGATTTACTAACAAGTCACTCAAAATCAATGATAAAGCTGTGTTTATTTTCATCTACAGAACTCAGATGTACACATGCACAATCGTGCTTATATGCTGAACTCTATTTCAATATGTAACTTCTAATTTAGTGATGTATTGCACAATATACAGTACATTTCATACACTTACTACTTATAGATCATATCATCAGAGAAGTCTCAGGTAGTTAAAATCACAACATTTATGACAAATAGGAAGCTTTAAAATGAACTATCTGAAAACTTCTTGAAGCAGGACCCTATTTTATTTTCCATGCTCATAACAATTTAAATAGGTAGAATTCGCTATGGCCATAACTCCCTCCCCCCCTCCCCGCCCCCCCACATCAAGATAGGAACTAAATGTTTCCACATTTTACATTAATTTCTGCAGCCTATTCATGTCAACTCTTAATTTGTGAAATAAATTTTCTTACATTTGTATGCATTGGTGCTACTTTTTTACTAACCTTTTTTACCTTTTTTTTTTTTTTGTGTATTGCAGAGATTGGAATGGGATTAACGGGCTTTGGTGTGTTTTTCCTTTTCTTTGGAATGATTCTCTTTTTTGACAAAGCACTTTTGGCTATTGGAAATGTAAGTGTTTGCTGTTCACATTTTAGTTTATACACATAGTTTCGACATGGAAGGGTAGAGTATTTTAAGTACATGATCCATTTGTATTAAATGTTCCCCTTTGAGATTTTTTTATTATCAAATGGAAACTGAGCCTTGGAAAATAGAATCATAGAACCCTAGGTTTAGAATGGACAAGGGTCATCTAGTCTAACCACTACCAAGATGCAGAATTTGTTGTGACTAAATCATTCAAGACAAATGGCTATCCAGCCTCCTTTTGAAAACCTCCAGTGAAGGAGCTTCCATGACCTCCCAAGGGAGTCTGTTCCATTGTCCTACTGTTCTTACAGTTAGGAAGCTTTTCCTGAGATATAATCTAAATCTGCTATACTGAATAAAACAGAATCTGGTATAAAAGAGAGATTATGTTCAATGCCTTATGTGCTAAACTTCCACTGACTCTGAAAGTTAAGCCAATCCCCCAATCACTCTAAAGATGGTACCACTGAGTCAGACTTGAGTCAGCCACAGTGAAGAAACTTGTGCTGCAGCTGCTTGTGCCACTGATTCTATACATTAGACTTCTCAGATTGACTGTCATGGGTAGGTCTACACAGCAAAGAAAAACCCATGGCTGGTCTGTGGGGCTGTTTCATTGCTGTGTAGATTTCCGGGCTGGGACTGGAGCATAGGCTGTAGGACCTTGTGGAGTGGGAGGGTCCCGGAACTCAGGCTCACAGGGCTCGGCTGCAGGGCTGTTTCATTGCTGTGTAGACTTCCGGGCTCGGGCTGCAGTCTGAGTCTGCTAGCACAGGTCAGCCGCAGGATTTTCTATGCTGTGTAGACATACCCTCTGACACCTTTTTTACAGTCTTGTATGTAAGGTAACTTAATAGAATTTGCATATTTATTTCCATCTAAGAACTCTAATATTTTGTAAACACTAACAAATTTAGCCTCTTAACACTTTTCTGAGGTAGGAAAGTATAATTAAGTGAAAACTGCTAATAATAAATTGAAAAAAAACACCTCTTGTCTGTGGTGAGTAGGAACTTTTACTAGTCAGTGCCTTCATCCTCTGCAGTTTCAAGTTTTCACTTAAAAAATTAAATTTCTTGCTTTTGTAATAGATTATATTCAGTTCATGTGGGAAAGTTAACTGATGTGATGTTGCCTTTCTAAATCTGACAGTTCCAGTGCTTTCGCTGCTGTTCACAGCTTTGCCCATCTACAGGAGATGAAAACTAACTAGAGGATTGTCGTTTTTCAATTGTTGCTATTCAGAACCCTGTGGGCAGCAGGGGTTAAGTCATCTTCACTCTGTTGCTACTGCTTGTGGAAGCTAGGGACAGCAGGGCAAATGTGGAAGCTGTTCACTGAATGAAAGTCCCAAAATAGATACTTGGAGGTGGGTATAATTGCAGAAGCCCCTCCCCTCCAAAGTATCAAGAAAGAGAATTTGTATATGGCAAAACATACATAAAATAAATATTTGGGATACAAAAGGAAAAACCATAAATATAGGGCAGGAGGTAAATAACTCAGTGTAGGGAAAGTGATATAAAGTGGGAGCTAGAGAGAAAGTAAAGAGCAAACAGAACTGAAGACAACACAAGAAAAGATACACTATCCTTACAGGAAAGGAAAAAAGTGGAGTGATACCAGGAAGAGAAAAAGATGCAACAAGAGAGTAGAAGAGTAAAAGTGACCTAGTACATGTGTCTTATTCCTTTAAAATGTAGTTGGTGTGGCTTTGAGGGTTTTGCAGCACAAGTATATTTCACTCTAGCTAGTAGGGTTAGTTCTCAGACTGGCAGGTGGCAGTTGTGATTAGAGAAAGATAATTAGATACTGATGGCCGAGCGTCAACTATTGTCAGTGGTACTACTTGGTCAAACAGAGTGAGTAGCATTTATTCTGCAACAGTGATAGACTGATAAACTATTATCAAAGCTGAGATGTAGTGGAAAAACAAGGAGCATCAAGACTGATACTTTATCTTCAATTCTTCCCATTATGTTATAATGAATATGCTTAAATATCTATAAACATCATGCATTATGTTGATCCATAACAGCTAAATACAAGTTATGTATTTAGTTATGTATGGATGGTGAGTCAGTGTCTTAAAGAAACACTGCCAAGGTAGAGCAAGATATGACCTGCCACTTACTAAGGCTTGTGTACACCAGAAGTTATTAGACAACCTTGGCCAGGGACACGATTAGGGTCCATGTCTACATTACAAAATACATGCCTTAATTTTTGGAGATAACTGTCGTCATAGAGACTCCTGGCATGGTTATATTTGTAATGTAGATGATTTGTGTATCTAGGGTGACCAGATGTCCCAATTTTATAGGGACAGTCCTGATTTTGGGGTCTTTTTCTTATATAGGCTCCTATTACCCCCGTCCCGAGTTTTCACATTTGCTGTCTGGTCACCCTATGTGTATCTAATTTACAAACAGTGACGGACAAGGGGTTGAGATGAATACTTCCACATCATAATGTTTCCAGCTTTGTAGAATGGTTATTAAACATTTGTAAAACTCTAAATTCATTTGGAATATATTCTCTCATTCATTATTGGATTTGTCTCTGTCTCTTTCAGGTTTTATTTGTGGCTGGCTTGGCTTTTGTTATTGGTTTAGAAAGAACATTTAGATTCTTCTTCCAAAAACACAAAATGAAAGCAACAGTCTTTTTCTTGGGTGGTGTGCTTATAGTTCTCATTGGTTGGCCCTTGATAGGAATGATCCTTGAAATGTATGGATTTTTCCTTTTATTCAGGTAAGACTTGTTTAAAATGGGGTTCTTCATTGGTATCTTTTTGTTATTAGGAGGAAATGTTTTTGCTAATTTGGCAGCATTCACTACTTCCACAACAGTTGCTAAACTGAAATTTCATCTCTAAGCACACTTTATAATTTATACAGATCGTTAATTTGTATTTGTAACAACCTGGAACTTGATATGTACTAGCTTGATACTTTTAAAATCAACATTGCCTAAATCCATTTGATATTTGTTACATTGTTTCATATGTGTGAAAAATTGCACTTGACAATTTCACACTCTTCCCACCCCCCAATCAAGCAAGGATTTTTTTAAAGAACCAAAATATCCTTTGGGCCTAAAATGTGGACTTTGTCTAACTTACCACCACCCCCAGTAAAAACCTAGCTTAAATCTGAAGAAACACGATGTTCTTTTGAAAAAAACCCAAATTTTATTTAACATTTCCTTCTGGTGTTTGCAACCTTGGTATTGTGCTAGTGTATGAGAAACAAACTAAAACAGATTTGTTTTCATTATCCAATCACCTTACGTCTCATAATGCTTATGGCTAGCATAATCACTTAAAATGGAGCAACATTTTGTTATATGGTTAACAAAAGTGAGTTATGTAAATCTGAAAAATCATTATTCATATATAGTAAGTTTCATACTTGTGCCTAGCATTCCCATAAGAAGCCATTCATCATTTTTCTTCATATCACTTCTGACTTGCTGAAATCCGCATCCTTTGGGGAGGGAAAGAGGAAAATGTCACATAGATGACACTATAGACCTTTTTGAACTTAACCCTGAACTTCTGATGAAATCAGAACTATTTTAAAAAAAAGAACAGGAGTACTTGTGGCACCTTAGAGACTAACAAATTTATTAGAGCATGCATCCGAAGAAGTGGGCTGTAGCCCACGAAAGCTTTTGCTCTAATAAATTTGTTAGTCTCTAAGGTGCCACAAGTACTCCTGTTCTTTTTTTAAATAGTTCTGATCCGAAGAAGTGGGCTGTAGCCCATGAAAGCTTATGCTCTAATAAATTTGTTAGTCTCTAAGGTGCCACAAGTACTCCTGTTCTTTTTGCGGATACAGACTAACATGGCTGCTACTCTGAGAACTATTTAACAGACTCATGACTCCAGTATAGTAGCCACTAAAGCTTTTTCCATGGTGCTGCAGTGGCAGGTGAAAATTAATGCAGTTGCTGTGGAAGTCAAAGGAAATGTGATTTGGATCATAATATCTTTAACTCACTAAAGTTGGATATATAGTCCTATATTTAAACACTTAAGTTGGGAATTTCAAAAGCGCTCAATATTGACCTGCCTTTGCTCCTCCTGAAGTCAATGGAATTTTTATTGTTGACTTCAGTGGGAGGTGAGTTATGTCAAAAGCAGAATGCTTTAAAAAGTCCCATCCTTAGATCTTCCTTGTTTTTGTTGGTCCAAGTTATTTCATCCTTAACTTGCAAAGTATTACCACAAATGTTTTGCAAATGGTTATGCATTGATCTAAGACTTCCTTCAGTAATTGGTACAGTAATTGGTATGTTAACAAAGAGGCAGTTTTGCTTTAGTCACTTGTAAATTGACTCTTAAATTTTGTTTTAAAGTTGTAAAAGCACATGTTGATATGTACCTCATCGCATCTTTAGGGAATCATAATTACGGTTCCGTGTCTGTCACAGATTCTGTGACCCTGGCAGTGGTCCCTGGCTAACCGGTGCAGCCGCAGTCCGCTGGCCTCAGCACTGCTGCCTGACCAGCCAGCCAGAGCAGCCGCAATCCGCAGCCCCGGGCAGCATTCCCCGGCCAGAGCAGCCGCAGCCCTGGACAGTTTATTGCCCGTGACCTGTCCATGACTTTTACTAAAAATACCATGACTAAATCATAGCCTTATTAATAATGTGAATTATTTCACTGAGTGTATTAAAATGGTTTATTTGAATGTGCTATTTGCATCTCTAATCAGCCACTTTGAAGCAAGAAAAATTGCTTTGGTAACACTTGAAAGCTTTAAAAGCAGCAAAGTACATTGTAAAAAAAATCTGAAATGTTGTCCGTGGTGGCACTTCATGCCTCAACAGTGCTTGCTGTGTGACAGAAGTCTAATATATATGAAAGAACAATCTCCAAAGAAATGAAGTGGCTGGCTAAAGTCAATGCACACAGAGTCCTACCACAATCTTTTAAAGCAGAACAATTAGATTATTTATTAACTAAGAGACATTAAAGAGCTCTCATAGTCTTACTTTCAAACCTAAAAGACTTTGGCTCATAAAACCACTTATCTTTAATTTAACTCTTTTCTTGACACTTGGTAAATCTAAAATTTGTTGTAAAACAAGTGGTTCCTATTTTTTAGCCCATCTCCACTATGGTGCTGCATTTGTTATATCATGCAGACTTCCGTAACACAGTACAGTATCAAAAAATAGGTGTGTCTCCTGCAGAATCAAATAGGAAGAATAAGCTCTCTTCCACACATCAGTCTAACATGTCAAAATAAAAAAAAAAAACCACAGGAAATAACTGGCCAAATGCATAGTTTTTTACGTAAACTTTTTAAAATTTGCTTTAGTAGTCTCCATTGGAATTACAGTAGAACCTCACAAGTTCTCACATAGCTAATCTGTATATCTGAGAATTTATTCAAACAGCTCTACTCCTACTTCTCAGCATATGTCTAATAAATGACTGCTGTACTGAGGCCTTCATTACTTTATAAAATGCATTTGCACTACATTAATGATATACTATAAACTATCAAATAGATTAAAGAAACTTGTCAAAACAAGTGAACAGATGGTATTTTAATGGTACAGCCTTTGTTTTTGTAATTATTTGCTTGTTAAATTGCCAGTTTTGGTAATCTGCAATGGGAGTCCCAGGTTACTCAGTAAGTTTCCCAAAACTTTAAACATTGTGAGAATTTCTTTCCCATTAAAACATCAAATCAGCCCATGCATCTGTCATAATGTACTATAGTGTCAGCTTCTGAAATAATTTAATCCTATATTTGGGCATAAAATAACTGGTGAAATGTATTTTATTTCTACTAAATATTGGTGGGATTTTCAAAAGTACTCCAATTGTTAGGATTGCTGGCCCTAGTGACCCTCAATGTGCTCCTAACTCACTTAGGTACTTTATAAAATCCTACCTCTATCGGGTGAGATTTTCAAAACATTTTAAAAGGGGCGGGGGGAGCTTTTGAATATTGTATTTTTTCCTGCCACTTCTTTCTCTCCCTCCCCTCCTGAATTAGTAGATCCCATATATATATGTCAGAACTTATTTTCTACTAAAAAGCTACAAGTAATTTTTTTAATGCAATCTCATTTCAAATAACTCATTCCTTCATCCAGTCTAATATGTGAGAATAATATCACGTCATGTTGGACCTACGTAACTTCAGAATCTTTTTGTTTAAAGGGGTTTCTTTCCTGTGGTGGTTGGTTTTATTAGAAGAGTGCCAGTCCTTGGATATCTCTTGAATTTACCTGGTATAAGCTCGGTAAGTATTCATCTACTTAAAATTAAGTTTGAACCTTTTTGTTCAATCCATGGTGGTTGTAGATTTAGCAAATAATAATGCAGAAATACTATGCACATAGTCATAGAACAATAAATGGTTACTGTGTATGCATTTTGTACAGTTCTTGCACCATACGAGTCATATTCAATCCTAAAGAAGAGATTAAAATAAAACGAATTTCCACTGAAGTCTCTAAAGTAGAGACACTTATAGCTGATTATCCCTGCATCATTATATTCAAGTTTTGAATTACATATACATGTTACAAATGCCAATGATCTGAGACTCCATTATTCGTGTGCACCACTGGGTCAAAAATAAAATTAGGAGCGGTTTTAATTCTGACTTAGGTTTTTATGTTTGATCTACTTAATTTTGCGTAAGTTAAACATAAAAAAGCCCCAGAGTAATTTCAAATTGCTCTCTTTCAGACTAGCATAGACCTTCAAGGTGAGTCAAGAATATGCCTAGTAACTGTCTCTAGGCACCAGCATCCTTTGTGTAGGTCCTTTGGTACCGTATTAGTAATGAGATGAATGAGATCTGTGTGTATAATTCATTGGGCTAATTCATAATGCCAGAAGAACAATCGTGATGTAGCATGTTGATGGCTGGAAGTAGAGCCTTGTCGATGTTAATGTAGGTATAATAAGGAAATAGACTAGATGTATTATTTTGTACTATATGGTAAAGTGAAAACTGATCCATAAACTTTCATGTGATACATAATCATTTATCTAATTAATACTTATTCGGGTCCACTATGCTTGGGATAAGTTTTGCCATTTACTGAGATCTGTGTTTTTCACATTTGCCATTCTTTTAACGAAATAACCAGGGAATAGGAGAGAGGCAAATAGCACCAGAGAGAGGATAACCTAGGATTTGTACTGTGCATATGTCTCTTTGTATTTGGAAATTTGTAATTGTAAGTGTTTTAACCTTAGTCTTGAAAGCTACCATTTAATACATACATTGTAAAATTCAGAAGCTGTACAATTAAGACATACAAAGTCCAGTTTGCAAAGATTGATTCATTTTAAAGTTCAAGTTCATCTGTTTGAATGTTGTAGTCTAACAGTCCCAGGCCAAGGTCTGGCTCATGCTCCATGATCAATTGAATGTTCCACTCAGCAATTGATCTTACCTAGATATATAAATTGATCTTAATGGGGTTAAATCCTGTTTAAAAAGATAATTGTTAATGTTTTATTCAAAGCCTACGTAGGCTCAGAAGAGAATCCACAGTAATGGTCAGTTGAAATATCTTATTTGGTCTGTTAATGCATGAGTGGCTGATATTTTTTTCTTTTAGTTAATTATTTTATTTTATTTTGGCCATTAAGCTAGCAGTGTTACCTGCATTCTTCTAATTTATGTTTTCATTCTGTTGCATTTTCATGTTGCACCATTAATATCCATGAAAAACATATCATGCAGAAACACAAATTGCAATGTAAGGTATTTTTGATGTTTACAAATTTATAAATCTCATGAGACCTTGGTGAGTACTATTTGACTATAATCATTTTCAGTCACCTACTAAATGCGCACAAGTACCAATTTATATTTCTGAGATAGCATTTTGAATGTACATGCATAAACGTGCAAGTAACTTAAAGAATTTTTTTTTTGTCTCTTCTCTCCTACAGCTTGTAGATAAAGCTGGAGAAAGCAACAACATGGTATAATGACAAGTGGGCAGAAGGCTGGTTCTAAATTTATTGTATTATTTATAAAGCTTTTGAAGAATATTCAGCACAAAGATTAAATTGTGAACAAAGGAAAAGCTTGTAACATTCTTTATATAAAAGTTTAATTTAAAATGTATAGTCTACAAAATACATCATTAGACAAGAAGCTCAGCAAGCATGCTTCTGAGACAAGCTATTCGAAGAATTTGGGAAGTAAACCGAAGAGGTGAAAGTCATGGGATAACCCATGCTACAACTGTTCAAGACTGTTTTTAATGTTTTTGGAAAATATGCTAAACATAATGAACCCTCATGGAACTAACGGTGCCTGTACTTTACCTCCTTATTTTGAAGGTTTGGTAGAGTGAACAGGTCTTTATTTTTAAGGCATTCCCCTCCTACCTACCCAACCCACCACCTGCCACATCCAAAAAAAAAAGAGGAGGTGCGGGGGGCAAAAAATATTACCTGTTGTTTAACAAAAGATGTCTTTCTTGCATGAAAGTTAAGATGGATAATCATTTTTAAGTATATGTAATAACAAAGGAAACCCCTCTACACTTCTACTGTAAACATTTTTTGTAAATATGTGGCTAAAATAAAACTTCATTGTTATCTTCATGTTTCATAGCCAAATGTAAGTTGGATTTGCCTTCAGTTTTGGAATATGCAAAAGGTCAATCTTTACTAACTTCAGTCTAAAAATGCAATTGGTTCCGAAGTTGTACAGTTTAGCTGGGAACTCTTGAAACTGACTTACACTCCTTTGGATTTTTTTTCTTCTTGACTCATGTTACCTGTGCACATCAAGATGAGGATGTAGCTCTTTGTCACTGAATAAACTTTTGCATATCCTGTTTAGTTCATGAAATGATACATTTGGTTTTACACAAACCCTGTGAAATATACCCTACTCAAATATGAAACATGTTTTTAAATAGTTGGAAGCCCTCGCTTCTTTTTGCCATAGGACTACAAGTTACAAATCTTATTTTTTACAGTAATAAAATGAAACCTTTAAACTCTGTGTGTGAGAGTTTCTGGAAAATTGAATTTAACAAATTTAACTGAAAAACAAATGCCAGTCTGAGTGTCTATTTATATGACTTAATTGCTGCTTGATTTCAGTCATTTTTAAATTATTTATCCCGTCAATCATGAAAGCAATTAGCATCTATAGAGCATGTATCTGATCTGGACTATAATTTTCTTTGGCCTAAATTGAGGTAAATGAAGATTGCATATTAAAGTGCGAGTAGTGATTTTTCTAATTTTGTTGGAATGTCTAACGTGCTTTTCCAATAAATCTAGATTCATAGTATTTTTCATCTAAAGTGAGCAGCAAGTAACTTGTATCTGTGCAAACGTTGACTTTAGCAGTTTCTCAGAATTTTTTGACTCAAGTAGCTATAGTCTCATCAATCTAATAAGTGATTCTTTTGCAAAGTTAGAAAATACCAAACTAATTTTTTAAAACTAATGTTTTTAAGATGGGATAGAGCCATCACATACAAAATATACATTTTTGGAAGTACGTAGTTTAAAAACATCTTTGCATATGTGGTGGGTTTTCCAGTTGTAGATGTATAAATCGCCATGGATTATTTTCTAAACATCCCCATTTACTTTGTTTTCTTCTGGGGAACAAGGTAGTGGAAAGTAAAATGCAAAACACTTTGGGAACAAAATGAATAGGGCAATAGCCTGGTAGCCCAGTGCATCTTTTAAGTTTAGTCAGTGCGCATTATGGCTTTTTAATTTTAATAATGAAAGAACTTGGTTGTGGGTTGGGGGTTTTTTTGGTTTGTTATATTCCTGATGGCATGTGTGTTAATTTACAAACAGGACTAAATATGACTTGTGGCTCCTACCTCAAGAGAAGAATCAATTTTAATTGCCCCTGTGTATCTGTTCTGTTTCAAGCAACACCTTTCTAACACTAGTGAAATAATTTACTTTCTGAACAACCAAATGGGCTTGAAATACTAGTCTGCATCATGGGAATCAAGTAATTTTTTTTATTTAATCAGACAATGTTACTTCATTTACAATAGATGTGGAAAAATGCTAAGGTCTTTACTCTTATCTTTTAAAAGGTAATCTAAAGTGCAAAAGCTGGATTGTACCACATGACTGTTCTGTAGTCATTTTGGAAGAAAATTGCTTGATAAACTTATGCCAAGTACCTTCTTCCACAAGAACTTTGGACAGAATCTTTAAGATGGGACAATGTCTTGCTGTTCCATGATCTCTCAGCCCTTCAGTGAAACACAGAGGTCTGCAATTCACATCACTTCTACTTGAATTCACAGTTTTACATCAAGTATCCGCACAAGTGGTGCTCTTTTTTTTGTCAGGAATGAGACTGACAAATGTACTACTCAACTGAGAGGAGACAACATTGTGTGTAGCATTTAGCAGTCTGTATCCCTCAAGGTAACATAGTCTCAAAGACAAACATCGGTTTTGCCAAGTACCTGTAAGTGGTGGGGAAGAAGTAAAAACTACTCCTTAGCCTTAAGTGTTTCTGTCATTGCAAAAATGTATCTTCTGTAACAGAAACATATTTGGAGCATTTCCTCTTTTAAATGTAATTTATAATTGCGTTAAGGCTCACTAACAGATCTATCCTGAACAGATGAATACTGTAAATACACTTGTCATACCTTGAATAAATGAGTACTTTTTTCTATTAATTGTTCATGTCTTTTTATTTTTTAACTGCCACGTCTTTGAAGAAAATATTCTATACCATTTTGCTTGCAGGAAGAGGGACACTGCAGTTCTTATCTGTGTTGCTGGATTGCATAGTGGAGCATATGGAGTCTGGAATGAGTGTCTTGTATTAGATCTTTGGAATGTTGTTGTAGCCATGTTGGTCCCAGGATATTGGAGAGACAAGGTGGGTGAGGCAATATTATTTATTGGACCAACTTCTGTTGGTGAAAGAGACAAGCTTTTGAGCTACACAGAGCTCTGTGTAACTGGAAAGATATTTCACCCACCTGGCTCTTTTTTGTATTAAATCTGTCGGACAAGCATTTCTTAGGTAGGCATCCCCTTGCTACTGTTAATATCATCTTGGTATTTAACCGAATTTCTTAATTGACACACTTTTTACAAGCAGCAATCAAAGAAGCAGTGTGGTCCAATGGTTAAGGTACTCAGCTGAGACTCAGGTCTATATTCCATTCCTTGCTGTCACTGATCTACTGGGTAACTCTAGACAACTCACTTCCCATCTTTCTGTTACTCTAAATAGACAAAGGCTTGAAGAGGAATGTTTACACAGCAAAGGAAAACCCCTGGGTGGCCATGCGGGCCGGCTTGGGCTGCAGGGTTGTTTCATTCCTGAGTAGACTTTCAGGCTTAGCCTGGAGCCTGAGTCCCACACGCCTGAGTCAGCTGGCAAAAGCCAGCCACAGATTTTTCTTTGCTGTGTAAACATACCCTTAGTTCCTGCCCAAGAACTGACCGTTTCTGTGCTTGTACAGTGCCTAGCACAATGTGGCCTTACTCTCAGTCTCTAGGTGCTACTGTAATATAAATGCTGTTTGAATGTAACAATTACTGTATGATGGAATGTTCTAATGATATAAATGCTAAACCTACTTGTGGCTCATTGGCATTTAACAGCGCTAAGCAACTGTGCTTGATGCCTTGGTTTAATTTGAGATGGGTAGCATGTCCCAACTATGACCATGGCATGCCCATAGCTATGTTTCTAGCTGCAATGATGCCAAGTTGCATCTAAAGTAAAGATCTAAATAAAGGCAGGGCTATCTTAGAATAACAATTACATAATCATTTCTTGACAGATTCCATGTGGCCCCATAGCTACAAAATATCCATCTTTTTTTTTTTCCTGACTTGCCTGACTGAAATACCTAATAGGCAGGTCTGAGGAAAACAGAACCAACAGTGTCAGACTAGCTAACTTAACTGTTCTCCAAAATGGGATAAATGCCTAGTTTGGATACATCTCTCCCTATAATGAGGACAATGTGAATATATGGCTCAAAATACAGATTAAATGTTAATTAAAACCAACCATTGCTGATACAGAAAAAAAATCTTAATTTTGTTCTTGGTACCTCCATCCCTTTATTAGAATGGGAGGTGGAGAATAGTCTAAAGAAACTACAGAATTTCATGTATAACACATTTTTAAAAAAATAGGAGGACCCAATTTGACTCACTTTCCAGGTTGAGGATATACAAATATACTATTTAAAACTATTAGGGACTATTTGGCACAGCTTTTGCTCAGCCCCCACCAATGATAAAAATAAAGGGTGATTTATGCTATGAATTTTGCAAAGCATATCATAACCCTGTGGTTAATGATCCCTTAAAGAAGAGCACTTCTAAGTGTCTCAGCACTCCAGCTCAGTCACAATGTCTTGGGTTTTATTTACGTTGTTAGACAGGGTACTGTCCTGTAGATTGTATTTCAGGATAAACATACATTATGCTCCCTAGGCTAAGGGATCCTGCTCCACAGTGATCTTCTTTCCACCATGCTAATTTCAGAGTATTGATTATCTGCCAAAGCAGCTTTCATATTCATGTGAATTTGCAGAGAAATGACAGCATTGATGTAAAGCAGTTGTTGTGACGCTCTTCAACCTGAATTGCCTTTTTATTTTGTATGGACACTTCTATTCTTTTTTAATGTTTGGATCTATATTAATAACTAACCATATTTAGGATGTTTTTCAAAGATGTGTGCATTTTTTCTGTGCTGATACAAGTGCATGTGCCTGATTTATACTTTCATATAATCCATGTGTGTTTGGGGGTATCTATGCTTCAGTGCTAAAATTTTGTTTAGTGGTGCTGTGTGCTATTCAACAGATGCCATGTTCCACTGCAAATGTGGCTGCATTTTAGTAGAGGGTGAGATGACTCCTCTTGTATGAATAAATGATTCTCTTATCGGCTGCAGTGCAAAAAGGCTAGAAAACAAGGGAAATAATAGGGCCCTATGTCCCGGGGTGGTGTGAGACTTATTTAATGTACATAAATCACTTTAAGATCCTACCTGTCGTTATAAACTAGGTTTGACACACACACCCAGCCCATGGTGAGTTATCAGTGCAGCAGGCATGTGGGCAAAAATGAGGGTGCTTTGCAATTTGTCTGTTGGCACTCAGTCTTGAATCTTTACTCAGGCTCAGATTGTCCCTGGTGCAGGTTTTTCCTACATACAGCACAAGCAACTCCCTTCAGTGGATTGCCCCTCAGATCATCCCATCCAAGGGGTGGGGGGCAGGGAGGAAGGGTATTTTTGCTCACCCCCTGCCCTCCAGATCGGGGATGGACTCTATCCCCTCATTTCTGGCTTTAGCCCAGACCCTAATAAGAGGTATCTGAATTTCTAGCATAGGGGAGGTACTAGACACTGACCCACAGCCAGACAAGTTGCTCTCAGCTGAGAATGGCTCGGAGCACACAGATGGAGGCGGTGCCACACTTACCCAGCAGGGGGAGCCAAAGGGAAGAGAAAAGCCTCCTGTCTCACCGCAAGGAAATAATTGCCACTTGCCAGCCACCCTCCCAAATCAAGGGTGAGGGACAGCAGCCCCATTGGGCAGACAAAGAGGGGCATAGAGACTCAA